TCCATCACAGACTTTCTATGTGATCCTGGGCAAATCACTTAACTTCTCTGTGCCTCAGCGCCCCACGTGCACAATGGGGATCACCTGCCCTGCCTGACAGGTGTTGTGAGGATAAATACATTAAAGACGTGAAGTGCTTGGAGATCTACTGATAAAAAGTGCAATATAAGCAATAGATATTATTAATATTCCCTAAATGATCCTGCTTTGCTGCTGCCACCAGTTTGAGCCTGGATTGAAGTTCCTTGCCAGCCCGCTGCTAACGAGAACATCCAGGAGTGGTCTCTCTTTTATGATGCAAAGATATTCCTCCCAATGACAGTGCCCAAAGCTGTTTCCATGATCCTACAGGCCCTGTGGGAATGAAGGACAGTGCCCAAGCTCCTGGGGGAGTTGCTGGCTTCAGGACAGGCCCACAGCTGATAAACATGACTGGCTGCCCCCATGTGACACTGCCCGATTTCCTCCACAGAGCAGGTATCTCCGGGAGAAGGACCCCTTTGGAACACAAATTGATTAAGTTCCTTTCAAAACAGAAACAGCTGTTGGGGGTGAAAGGAGAGAAGCGAAAGGATATGGAGCACAAAACAAGACATGCCTGAAAATGACACATGACTGGCCAAAGGGGAAGAGGGATTCGCCATTCTCTGTCATGAATGTCAGTGAGTTAGAGATGGCCCCAGACCGTCTGGGGACACTTGATATGCCAGTAAAAGAGATTGACAGGAGCCTGCTGGGCTTCATTAATGCCCCAGATGGAAAACAATTTGCTGGCCATCATCTTTGCCTCAAAGTTACAGAACTGAAAACCAGGCTAGTCTCACCCTGCTCTGCTTCAGTCACTGCTGGATTTATATTGCAAGTTCTATTCATCAGTCTGTTCACTTATATATATATATCTCCTCGGCCCCACCACAACAGCCACCTGTGGCCTCCATCCCTGCCAGAACAAGCCCCTCCAGGGCCCCTGTTCCCCTGTAGATCACATCATAGTTTCTACCCACAGTATTTATCTCACCGTCCCATCCATCTATCCATCCCATCTCGCTTGCTCATCCTTCCATGGATCCATCCAATCATGCATCCACTCCTGGCATCCACCCCTCTATCCCTCTACTGCATCCATCTGCAGCATCTATCAGTTGGCCTATCATGTTCCCTCCAGCCCTTTATCCTGCAACAGCCTATCTGTCTGTCTGACTGTAACCAAAGGGAGCTTGTGTCTGATGCCTGTGACATCTAAAGGTTTGGTCCTGGTGGAAATGTGTCTTGCGGGTCATGTGGTAATAAGGTGTATCCATGGAGATGGTCAGAGACAGTCGCATGGAGAGCTGTCAGTCAAGGGGCTCCAACTTAGCAGCCACCTTTCCCAGCTCTTTGTTAGGTAGAAACCTGTGCTGGGTAAAGGTCTGTGAGAGGTAATCGGTCCAATTCATTTTAAAACCCTGGGAACCCAGGGGGCAGGAGCCTCTGGATGTCTTTGCTGGTCCCAGTCACACCCCTAGCCTGGGGTGTGTGGGATACTGGATTTTCAGGCGCAAGCTGCACTATAATATTTAGGCAGATTTGTAACCGGTCATTGGCCTGGTTTGTATCCGCACAGATGCGGTTAGTATTTAGTTAATAATCGTGGCAGCTGTCCAGGTGTTGCCCTTGCCAACAGGTTAGGTGGAGCCAGGGTTGTCATCCTGTTGTGGGTTTGTAGCACAGTGCTTTGCTGACCCTATAAGTGTGTCTTTGTAACAGACTTGGCCAGTCTTTCTGCCTCCCAGCTGTCTGTGACAGGACATCCCAGACTGCTTTGCCTCACATGCTGCCCTCTGTGTCTGTCCTCTGTGTAGGCTAGTGTCATCGGAGGCACTGCAACACCCAAAGAACACCCAAACTCAGATAGTCAGTGGTATTATATTAACAACCCCTTGGGATTTTTGCTGTAGGCTTTGTCACAATGGCATGGTAGGAGCTGAAATCTCAAGGCTTAAGAGGTGGTAAAGGATGTGAAATCAAATATCTAGGTCCTGAAATTCTTCCTGAGGAGACACTAGTTCCGCCTCTTGCATTAATCTCCACCCTGAGGCCTGAGACATTGACTCCGAAATCATGTGGTCTATCTTCCTGCTGCCCCATTGCCTCTGGCCATTGCTGTGTCCTGTCCACTCATCAAGCCAGCAACCAGCAGGGGGCAGGAGGCATGTATGGGGAAGGCAGGGATGGATTGGCATGACAAGGAAGGGCAGAGACCATGGCCAGCTGGTCTAGGGAGGGGATCCAGACCTGGGGATGTGGGCAAGGGGAAGGCCTCCTTTGGTGCTCATTAAGGGGGACAGAGGAATGTAGGGAAGTGGGAAGGGCTCTGGGAAGAGAGCAGGAGCTGGAAGTGAGGCAGGTTTCCTGCTGAGGCAATAGGGGAGCATGTGAGGGATGGAAATTGAATTCACTTGGCATCTTCCCCTCAGCTTAGCACCTCTCCGAGGAGGGTGTGGGACTAAAAGCCTGTGACCCCCTGAAGCTACAGAGAACAGCGAGCCCAAGTTGAACTGGATTCACTGTAACAACCAACTTCTTCTTCCCGATTCCAGCTCCTTTGGGCATTTCCAAGCGAAGGCAAATGGCGTGGCCTCAGGATCGCCAGCGGGCTCGGCCGGGAGCGAGGCCCTGCGACGAGGGCTGTGTCTGACCAGGCTCTCCGTTACGAAGGTACGCAGCACCCCATGCCTCCCTTAATAGCGGGTAATCGGCATCTCTGACCCCGGGGGTGGGGCATCATGAGTAGAGCTGGACAGGGAAGGTGTTTCCCATGCACAAGTGTTTTTGAGAGTTCAAAAAATTTTTCCAGTCCTGAATTGGGACAAAAAGTCGAAATCTCAAAACTTTTCACCAAGCAGTGATTTGGACTGGGTCAGGCCAAATGTTTTGTGTCCCATTTGACATTTAAAAAAAAAAATCAGTGTCTTTGTTTACTATCAGTTAACTAAAACTTTGAAACAAAAAGTTGTTTTGATTCAGAAAATGAAACTTTTCACTTTGCAAATGTCAACCGGGGGCATTTTGACAATTTGGAAACTTTTTTTTTCAGTTGGGAGATTTGTTGTCACCAGCTCTTCCCGTGGACAGTTTCTGTTTTGTCAAAGGGCCAGATCCTGGGCTTGCACTCTCCACAGCTCAAGAAAGGGGAACCCAACAATTGTTTTAAACAGCCTGTTCATTCCCCCAGTCCTGGACCATAATAGTGTCAGACTAGTGTCTCAATAAAACGTAGAGAAGCCTTAGGTTTTCTCTAAGTTACACTTAGCTGCCCACAGCTACGAGGGGCTGTTGGAGCAGTCAGGGACTGCCAAGGTGTAGGGGTGCTCTGGTCACACACCCTTAATCCCAGTCTTATGGATCAGAAGGGGAGCAGAGGGTGAGAATAACCCAGGAATCTCTTTTACACACACGGGATCCTGAGGGACCTGGGGAAGCCGATTTTCCAGCTTCCTAGAGCATCATGGGGCCTGTGTAAAGTTTCTATCTGCTCTGTTCAACTGAATCTTTTCTGTCTGCACTGAAGTTCCCTATGAATAAATGATACAGTTTCAAGGGCAATAAAATAAACAAATGCTTGAGATTGTAAGGCAAGAAAATACATATGTACCTGCTAAAGCCTGTCCCATGGCGCCTTGCAGCTGAGCCACCTAGAAGAACTATAGCCTTCCACTGTTTTAGGTGTGAATGATCTTAGAGAAATGCAGAACTGTCAGGTCTTGGCAGGTAAATAGAGGAGGGACTGGTTTGCAGCTATTTGCAATTATTAAGCTTGCATATGTATTATGTAAATAATATAATTTAATAATAATAATACCTTTATATAGCTGCTTTTTCCTGAAGTATCCCAAAGCATTTGCAGAACTTAATGAACTGAACACAGGGAATGAGTTCATCTGCCAGTGAAATGCAGCCACCTCTAGGGTGAAATACAGCTGTTCCCCATCTTCCTACCCTACACCAAAATCTAGGATAGGAAAAGTTAATATTGGAAATTGCAAGTTGGATATTCAAGAAGGTCAGACATAATACATGCCCTGCAGACGGTTAGCACCCCTATCTATGTAAAGAGCACATGCTTGGGGGAGCCCATTTGCAGGGGCGGCAGGGATACAGCATGGGAGCTGAAAACCGACAGGGGGCCCTGGGAGCTGTAGTTCCTTGGTTAGCTCCCTGCCTACAGAGCCAGCCCTGGAGCAGGGAAAGAACTACATTTCCCAGCATTCCCTTGGCC